ATATATATATATAAAGTCTATAGATATGCTCGATATGGTGTCTGCAATGGGAATAATATTTAAAATTTAGTCTCCTATGATACGCTAAGCAATAAAAACGTTGAACCAAGAAGAGAAAAAGATATATTTATATATTAGAACAATAGCCAATAAATTAATTAAATGTATAGAAACTCAATTCAAATAGGTTGTTATTTTGACTTGAACATAATTTCTCATTATGGTAGTGGATAAGTTGCAGATTGCCTCTCATTAATCAGGGAAATCTTTTCTCTTTAGAAAGCGCCTTGGGGGAAGGTGTCATAAAATATTTTCCTGATTGTACAATCAGGAAAAAAAGATAGCGTGCGAATGATAGCACTCCGAGGAGAACAAATGTATAACTTTTCTACAGAAAGTTATACATAAGCCTCAATGACAGTAGGAGTAATAATTATAGGGACATAACCGCAGTGTGGTTAATCGTCAATACTCACCCCAAGGAGAAAAAATAAGGAAAACTATCATCCATCCACATCCCACGCTAGAATTTTTTTGGAGTCTTACAGACCGCATTGGGTGCGGCAGTTGGATTACTTTTAAGATGTGGTCTAGGGAAGAACCGATACTTTTGTGACTGATGATACTCATAGCGTGCGAGGGCTTCACGAATATCGCGTCGGCGTTCATATATCCAAAGAGACGGCTGCGTCAACAACGCCGCTGCTATGGAAAGCTCCGGAATGTAAGCTATTCGTGGTGTATGGAGCGCTCGCATCAACGCCGCCGCGAGGGCCGTGCTCGGCATCACCAGCAAAGGATTTGGAAAGTTTGTCGCCAGTAAAACATCCGTCAGCCCACAAAAATGGTGTCGGGCGTGAACCTCCAGATGGTCCAGCGGGATAGGCATCCGCTGCGCTACCCGAGCCGCGAGGTTGAGCATCCCGCCGTTGAAACTCGTCCCCGCGATGACGCCACCCAATTGAGACTTCCGCCGCACCCACGTCGGGAGGATCGGCGTGATGAGCCGCTCCAACATCGTACACAACGCGCCCCACTCGCTCGCGAGCATGGGGTTTGGGCTGCTCCCGTGCAGACTGTAGCTCGCGGCATCGCGGCGCTGGATCTCAACCACGCCGTAGCGATGCGCCTGGGCGATATCAACGGGCACGCTAAACTTCACCAATCCCTGCATATCCCCAGGAGTCGTCGGCGCCAAAACCGCACCGTCCGACGGGCGTTCCCCCACCCCCTGGTCATCGATCTCGCCATCGCACCACGGGTAAGTTTTTTTATAAATTAAGGCCTTTTCCTCTGGTGGGGCGTCTTCGGCCGCGGAAAGGATATCCTGCACGTCCTCCGCGGCGGAGCTGTCGGTCCCAACAATGTGCAGCCCCATCTGGGGGTCCTCGTCAATCACCAGAAGACGTTGCGGCGCGACGCACTGGCTGAGAGCCGCGTGCGCGAGAAATGCAAGCTGCGCGAGTTGCGCCCTCGTGGAGACCACGACGGATCCACCCAAACCGTTAGTTGGGGAGCCCTGATGGTGGGTTTCACTTTCTTGCCCATCCGCCGCGGGAGAGGAATGGCGGCGCCGCAGCTTTGCGGTCGACGCTCGCCGGAGCAGCTGACGAAGGCTGTCGTGGTCCCCGTCCTTATCCTCATCGCACTGCCCCCCCACCGATCCGGGACGCCGACCTGGGGCAGACAACGTGGACGCGGTTGGGTGGCGAACCCCTGAACCCCTGGTCGCCTCCTTTCGCAGGGCCCCAAACGGCCATTCGACCTGGAAAGTCTTCCCAAGCACACGAACATCAATCTTAAATTCTCGCGTCAACTCGGCCGCCAACTGCTCCGCATTCTCGGCGAGGCAAATGGGCCACGACAGGACCGCCGCGCGTTCACTAAGGCCCTCATACGCATCACGGCGCAGGACACCGCTGAGGGTCGTCATTTTATTCCGAATATCCACACACGTGCGGCTGCTCAGTGTGAACGGCTTCGTCGGCAGGGCATCGGCGAAATCCTTTCCAGAGGAGCCCTCCCCGAAAACCTCCTCGGTCGAGCAGGCGGTCTCCAAACAAAGCGGCAGCTGCGTTTGGTACATCACCTTCTGGACGGCCGCGCGAGCGGCATCGACGCGGGCAACGCAGAGCGAAATCACCCCACCGGTGCCGATATCCATCGCGGCGCGAACGGGGAATTCCTTGATGTGTTGGCCACTAAACACACTAAAGGTCGGCTGCTCATCGGGGCCGCCGTGAAGATCCACCCCGCCGCTGGAGGGCACGTGCGAGAGGAAACGACTCCCCACCCCTAGTCCCCCATAGATAAATGGTCGCATGAGGCGGCGGGTGCCCCAGATGAATCGGACGTCACGACCAGGACCCCTCAGCCTCGGGGGAACGTGTAAAGGCCTGGAAAGACATCTTTTCGGCATTTCGCATAAATCAACCCAGTCTTTGGCCGATAAAAGCCCGCTATATACTCAACTATTTGAACTACGACGTTGCTCAAAACGCCTAAAGAGTTAAATACACACAAATGACAATTCAACGCACGAAAACAAGATGAAAGGGAGACATCAAAATGATAGAGAAACAAATGGTCATCCATATTACTCAAAAAAAAAAAAGACATGTTTCACGGTTATGTCTCCCCCAAGTCGCCATTAGTAACAAAAAAAATATGTATATAGATGTACATATACATTCACAGTGCACAATATAATTACAGGCAATAAAATAGGCCCATCATATGATCCCTCGAAAAAAAAGATCGGTTAAAACAATAATTTACATTGACAAGCATACACACACATAATATATGTATATAGGCATGTATGTACTCTAAATAATTAAAAGAGGCACTATTTGTGTATAATATAATTGTGCAGTTCAACCTAATTTATCACCCTTCTGAAGGGAAAACTATATATATATATCAATATATATATATATATATATATATTACTCCCTTACGCATTTTTCATCATAGTGGTTTCACCTTTTAAAGTAACGAAAGCCCCAGTGTTACTTTTTTGAAAACTACTCAATATTATCCAACGCCTCTCCCTTTTGCATTAGTCCGTACTATACTGTACATTTAATCAGACCTTGTCTGGTCTTGTCAGCGCGAAGCCACCCCCCGCGAACTGGCGCTGATTCTTCGGCTTCTGCAGCTTGAAGTTCGGCCCCGGGACGCCTGTGGAGAGGATGTGAAGCAAGTCCTCCTCTCGCGCATAGGCACGCTCCCGCTGGGTGAGTCCACCGGGAATCCGTGCCCCCACTCGAGATCCAATTTTCCCGCCTTGGGAAAGAATTCGCTGCGGGGCTGCCGATAAGTGATGGGATTGTCCTGGGGGCCCGCTCGAAGCCAGCTCCGCAGTTCGAATCTTCGCGTACGACTCCACCCCTGCGGAGTGGGGAGTGCTGCGCTTTCGCTTAGAAGGAAAGTTGACGGCCTCGTCGATCGTCTCACGGGCGAGCTGCGCGACGGCGATGGAGCTGCCCCAGGTTTGTCGCCACTGAAGTGCCTCACGCCAGTAGAAGTCTTGTTTGGTCTTTTCATCGTAATACTTTTTCTTAGCCTCGGCGAGCTCATCATTTAGCGTGCGCACCTCATCTTCCAGAACCTCCGCATGTTGCTCCAAGCCTTGAAGCTCGGTAACCATGCCTTGAAGTTGGTCATCTCGTTTTTCTATATTTTCTTGAAATAGCGCGAGATCCTCTACCGCCTCGGGCCCTGGCATGCGCGTCAGACGGCTTCGCAGTTTGGTGTACTCGTTGACCTTCTTCCTAATCTGCTCGGTTAACTCCACACACATGTTGGATTTCTCTATATAACTACGTTGAAGGAGTTGTACTTGGGCAAGAGCGTCCAGAAGTACCGGGGCGCTACCTTCTAGCCTTCGCCAACGATGGATGTTGACAAAGTTCTGCACCTCATTTGTGAGCGCACGCACGTGCGCACGCTGTCGGTTCAGCTCACGCTGATACTTTATAGTCTTCTTTTTTATCTTTTCCATGTAGTGCAGTTGCACAAGACTGCGCCGGCAGCGCAGCCGCAGCTCCGCTAGACGATCTCGCGTGTCGATGATTTCGTCAATGCGTTTATCATAGTCTGCAGCCTTACTTGCCAGATCACTGCCCTGCAAACGAACCTTCTCATAAATCAAGCTCACCTCTTCATTTTTGCAGATGAGCTGCGTAGCGAGGATATTGCAGTCGTTTGTGACCTTCTTAAGTTTGTAGAGCTGCTTTTGCTTCTCCGAATCACATTTGGCGATGACCTGCTCCAGTTCCAGCGCCTCCGTTTCCAACGCGGCAACGCGCCCTTTAGCTTCCACGCAGTCGTCATGGATGTGCTTGAAGCGCTCCTCGGTATTGGACATGTCGTACCGAAGCTGCTTGTTCACGGCATGGAGCTGGAGAAACTCGGTTTCTGTCCGTATGAGCTCCTTTTTTGTGGCTTCAATAACCTCCTGCTTTTCCAGTTGGTGGGCCATCAGCTCCCCTCGTTCGGTCTCCATCTCACGCAGCTGCTTCTCCGCACGATTGCGGTCGGTCTTAACGCGGTTCACAAGTTCTTGTTGTACTTTGTGTTTTTTCTCGAGCATGGCGCAGTGCTCATTTAGGCTTTTAAGCTCCGTGCGTTTGTTTCGAATGGCGTCCAACGTCCGGTGGTACTCAACTGTGGCAAACTGCACCGCGGAAAAGTGTTTATCCTTCTTTTTCTCGAGTTCGAAAACTTGCTTGCGAAGCTGCTCATTACTTTGCAAAAAGGCAAATAAATCCTGTTTAAGCCGTCGAACCTTGCCTTCCTCCAGGACACGCACTCCCTCTACCTCTACACGGCTGTTTTCCTTTACCGACTTTGCCGCTAACGCTTTTGTTTTACGAAGCATTACCCCCTTCATGAGCCCTTCGACATTTTGAATCTTTATCTCCTCCTGAGCCAGTTCCTTCAGGAGTCTGTCAAGCTTCTCATTATTGTCATTAGATCGCAGGATCAGCGCATCTCTCTCCTGAACTAGATTGCTCAGCTGATTTTGTTGGTCGCGTGCTACCACTTCAGTACTGCTAAGCCGCTTGCTGACCTTCGCCAGCTCCCGCTGCTTCTCCTTCATCATCGATGTCTTCCGAAGAAGCTCCGCCTTCAGAGTTCCATTGTACTTCTCCGTTGCGGCTAGCTGATCGGCCTCTGTCTTGATGCGTTGCTGACGCTCCTCAAGCTGACGGAAGATCACTGCATTGCTCTCCTTCGCGGCCTCGACATCCTTGCTAAGACGTCGCTCATCGGCTATAATTTGCTCCACCGCACGCTTCACCTTCTCCACTTCCACCACGTGCTGCTCGGTAGAATTGCGGTAGTTTTTCGCGCTTTGCTCCTTTGCACTGCGTTCACGCTGTTCGGCCTCCATTGCGGATAATAGCGCCTGATAAGCCGCTGTTTCTGCCTCAAAGGTCTTCCGTACCGCTGCCTCTTTACCGCTCAGCACTTGCATCCGGCTCAGGTAGGCCGTGTGGTCTGTCTTGAGGAGGGCGGCATCCGAAACTAAGCTGGCGTGCTCCTCCTCACGGGCCTTCTTCATATGCAAAAGGTTCCGCATGGCAACCTCGTGGCCGACGGAAAGCCCCGCGCTATGCTCCACCTGCTCGTCCAAGTCGGCTACTTGCTTCATGAGAACTTGAATCAGTTCACGACTCTCGACTTCTTTAGCGTGCGACATGTCCGCCATCGCCCAGGCCTTTTCGATTCCCTTCCGCAGCGCCGCGATGCTTTGGGTGTCCTCTTTGGATAGCTCCAGGGCGGTACTGATGCGGGTCTCATGATCCTTGAGTTCATCGCGCAACTCCTTTGTCTTTTCCATCAAATGTCGCTCACCTTCGTGGCTCTTGCTAAGCAGGCGGTAGATACGTTCGTACTCTAGCCTTAGCCGCTCGAACCGCGGCTCCGCTGAGAGCTCCTGCATAACTTCGACATAGCGATGCTCTATATTCTCAAGCACTACGATGGAAAGGGCAGTATTTTGACCGAGGTTCTTCCCATAAGTATCGGTAGAGGTCGAGACTACGTTACCAACGTTTTCGGTTGAATTTGTTACCAATTCAGGTTCATTTTTCGTCTGCATAATTAATTTCTTTTGTTTCACGTCCCTACCTTGGATCAACTTACCCCTTTTTTTTTAGCTGTCGCTGAACACGTCACACTAAAGTAAACCTCCTACAAAAGAATAGAAGACAGCTAAAATTATTAGGAATTGAGCTCAACTATACTCATGTATAGTGCTAAAACTAAAAATGGTGAGAAGAATACGAAAAAATATCAAATTAATAGTAAGCTGAAGAAAACATAAATCGCTTGTAGGTCATGATATATTTTTCATTAAAAATAAAGTAGTTATCTAATAGTTCAATATGAAAAATCGATTTGTGAGCACACACAGGCAACTGAGAAGAGCTCCCTATACGCTGTGACATTTCCTATGGAGCTTATTTGAAAAGAAGTTTTGTAAACGATGTTGTAAAAACATTCTTCATGGTGTGTGCTGTATATATTATTCGTCATCTTCATCCTTCTTATTTCAGTCATTTTTGCAGAATAATACGATTGCACTCCCGCGCAAGCTCCGTGAGCGAGACACGCCCCCTCTGAATGATAAACTTCGCTATCATTGGGAAGTGCAGCTCCGACATTACAACAAACTTCCCACGATCGTCAAACACGCCGAAGAGGGTGTCCTCTCTGACCAACTCCTCGATCACAGCGACAAGCTCCTCAACCGAAACCTCCAGAGTGCGCGCGGTATCCTGCAGCACCAGGATGTTGGATGGTCTACTGTCAGAGTCCTCGCAATTTGCTTCGCTATCGCAGCCGTTGTTCTTGAGTGACGAAGTCGCCGTCGGGTACTTCGAATGGTCAGAAATTCCGGCATTTACTTCATTTGCTCGCTGTTTTAAAAAGGAAATGATCGCCTCACGTCTTTTTTGCGTCTCCTGCTCGAGCTCACCGCACTCCTCAACCTCAATGTGGCCCACCCACTTCGCGTACTCCTCGTCGTCGTGTTTCCGTTTGGCATCACGCAGCTCCTGAAGCGCGGCGTTTTCTCGTACCGCCCACTCCTCCTCAGACTCGGCGTGTTGCGTCGCACGTCGGTCCGTCTCTTCTTTTTCCCTGCGTCGAGCCTCTTGCTCGGCCTCGTCGGCTTGCCGCCGTTCCGCCCGCTCCCGCTCCCTTTCCTGCTTCATGCGCTGCAGGCGACTTAGGGGTCCCTGCGAGCGTGCGCCGCCCTCCGCCTCCTCGTTGGCGCCATCCTGTCGACGCCGATGAGCCGGGCGGCGCCGCCGCATCCCTGCCGGTTCACCCTCGCCGGCCGTCCGTCGTGGTCGCGTCCGAGGACCCCTCTCCGCCCCGTTCTCCTCCTCTTCGCTCTCGGTGGCATCCCGGTGATTTCTGGCATCCCTGGTGCCCCCTGTGGAGGATGGCGCAGGAGGTCGGGCCCCCCAGGGTTGCCCCTTCCCACGACCGCGCCTGGCGTGAAGCCCCAACAGGCATCCGACCAGGACGAACAGCCCCAGCAGAACGATCACCACCAATGACATAAGTCCAAGTGCGTGTTATTAGAAAAGGAAAATAACTAGATGTTCAGAGAGAGAGAGAAAGAGAGCGCCGAACTGTGTAAGCGCGAATTTACTACCTACATGCTATAACGTCGTAGTGGGTGGGATGAGTATGTAAGTAGGCAAAGTTGATATCAATTGACAGGCAGATAGTTATAGACAAGCACTCTTTCAACGAAATGTATACGGTGTTTTTTGTGATTCCGTGATGTATAAATAAAGAATACCAATCATTAAAATAAAGATAAAGTGATAAAGCCCTATTTTGCAGAGGAATTTCCTCTTTCAAATTTACTCATCAAGTTTAATACATTAAATAGATTAGAAAACACAAACTGGAGCACCATAATAAGTTATTGAACACAACAAAGTAATCAAAACTGCGTAACATAACATTAACTTGTGAATAGATGATATTAGTCTGGATTAAACAGAGATAATAAGTTCGAAAGTTAAGCTCATTTATATTGAAAATAATAAAAAATAGATACATATAAACAATAGTGAATGAAAGCAGTAATAATACCTAAAAAATTACTGTTACCCAATTTGGTAATTTATCATTCAAACTCCGTTTTGATTTCTTACTTTGTTTATTTGAAGAGGGGATTATCCATTCTCCGTTTGAATTTTTTTTGAGTTTGTTATACGGAATTATAATGTAAAAAATGTTTATACCTCTTTATAGAGAGAAATTCCCCAGATAAGGGTGTAATTACAATTACAGATCGAGATAAAGACAAATTGATTCAACCGATAAACTTATTGAGGAATAGAACATTTTCATTTCAGACGACAAAATTCCAATGACAAACAAAAAACTGAATAATCTAATTACTGATACTAAAGAAGTCAATAAAAATGATTTTTTGAGCATAGATTCACTTTATCGAAAACAGAATAGAAAAAAAAACAGCATCGTTAAAATGGGTGTTAGATTAAATACTAACAACAAAAACTAAAATAATATTTACTTTGAGGATACATGAGGAAGAAAAGTAAATGTTAAAATTGAGAAAATCACGAAAATAATCCTACCCGTAATTAATAAAAGCATCAATACATAGGAGCTAGGTCATTCTTCAAAAAAAATCTATCGAGGATTTGGTAACAATTTCGTACCAAAATACTTGAAAATAGTCTATAGGTTATTTTGATTGTCTCAAAGTAAGCTACTGTTGTCGAATATGAAAATATTTACATATAAGATTAAAATCACTTCAATATGTTATATCCATATCAGTGATGAAATATGACCGCAGTAAAAATAATCATTGGAAATAAAAAACTACGCGAGCTAAGAAAATCAGCCTACCTGAAAGTAATGACTGAATATATACATCTTTATTTTAATAATAAAAAAAAAAGAATGCTCAACTGAATAAAATAGCCATTAGTAGTGTGATCGCCAAACTCAACTGTTTTTTTTCCTCAATTAATTTATATTTGATTTACATATAAGATCAAATGTGTGCGGAGAGCAAACTATCGCACAGTGCTACAAAGACATTAAGATCCAATAGTAAAAAAAGGAAAACATAAAATTATATATTTATAATTTGAAACAGGAAAGACTGTAGCACACGTAGCACTAGTATAAATAAGTCAAAATGAAAATGCAATAGAGATTTAATGCAACCGTGCACACGAGTGCTGAAAAGATAACAATAAAAATTAAATAAAGTTTTGGAAAAAACGCTAGTGTTGTCTTATGTACTTATGTGCATACGCATATAACACACATACAGAAGGATTGAGGAATTTCTTTCTTAAATATCCACAAAAGTAAATGACCACAATTTCTTGTTTCTATAAAAATTATATTGAAAATGATGAAGTGATAAATTGAAAAAAAAAGGTGTTTAAGCAAGGAATGCAAACAAGGAATGTGGTGAGAAAATAAACTCTCAGAAACAATAATAGGAGGCGAAATAGAACAGGATTCTCATACCTTGTTCACAAATAAAAAAAACTGACCTATATCTTAGCTAGGATGGCAGTAGGTTGCAATTATAGGGTACTAAAAAACGACCTGTTACTATAAAAGCCATTCTCGTAGAGAATGCGTCAATATACCCAAGCCTACCTTAAGGAGCGAGTAAAAAAAATCAGTGCTATTATCAATCGGGTAAATATAAATAAAATCACTTTGAGCAAAGTATTTATAGTATAAAAAATTGACCTTCAGGCCTTTAGGTTAATATGTTTGACTGATATATATATATGCATAAATATAAATATCTATGTATATATATATATATAGATATGTACATGTGTCCTGGTAATACCTTGGTGTCTCGAGTTTTTTGAGTTAGATACTTCAAAATCACAAAGCATCCAGAAATTATTCATTAATCAATCCCTTTTTTTTTCAACCACACCGCATACTTTTCTTACATCTCTAGAGGACGAGAGGATGAAATTAGGAAGGCAGCTTTCGTAACGACATCAGTGTTGATGACGTGTTTTCTTAAGTGTGGCTAATAGATCGAAAAGCCCTTAAAATGATCTTGTTTTCATCGTTCTCTACCGAACTTCAAATCTCACCTGTCTTCGAACTTGGTAACTGAGTAATGCGTATCGATGAGGGGAAGGACGGGGTGCTTCGATTCTTAAACTTGGTAGCTTCGTTAGGTTTACCATCCCTTGACAATTTTACCAAACTGTTGGGGAAAATGACAATGTTATCGGTAGAAGCATCTAAGAATGAATTTTTGATGTCTTCAGTGTTTGGGTTTCCAGACGATGGATGACCTAAGATCGATGTGAACTGTGGCATTGGGAGCGCTTGGTTGGGAACAAGAGCAGAGGGAATAACAGCCTTCCTGCCCTTCAGCTCGTCCTTTGAGTTGATGTGTGCAGTGAAATCGCAATCTTCCCCAGATCGCGCATTGCCCATGCATTTGCGGGTGTTATGGTCATCAGGCGAAATAAAAGCGGGCAACCTCCGCTTAACATGCGATGTGATGCCATCCAATGAATCCAAGGAACTTTGCAGCGCCAAGACCTCATGATGACAGATGCCAGACATAAGTTCACTCCCTTCCAGAGGACCACAATTCAAGTTTGAGGTGATAGAAAGTGGGTTGAAGTTGCTCGCCGGGGCACTTTCCGTTGAGACCTTCAACTTCGAGGAAGAGAGGGAGCCCAACGGGTCTGTAGAACGCAAACGCGGCCAGGAGGTGGGCCCCTGGGGCGGGGATACCGACATCCCGTAAACGCTCCGAGCGTTCCCCTTTGAGATGCCCGTGGTTGGATAGTGTCCCGATTTCCCCTTCTTTGACTTCGCACCGCCCTGGTTTCGGCTTTCTGAGGGCAAGGGAGGGGAAACCCGGAGGGGGGCTCGCCGGGTCCCTGAAGCCCCCCTCCCCTTCCTCAGCCTCCAACCGCTGTCCAGGTCGCCCTCGCTTGTTTGCGCGCCGGACGTGAGCCCCTGCCCTCCTTCCGACCCCAGCGGGGCAGAATGGTCAAACCAGGAAACGCCCATGGAGTCCTCCTTCAGGACGGATGGGGGGACCTCAATAACCGGATTCCGCCGTCCGCCCCGTGCCATCGTCCCGGGCTCAACCCGTGGAAGGCCTCTGCTGCTGAGGTCGGAACAGAGTGTAGCCGCTGTGGGGCTGGAGGGGTCCTTACGGGGGCTTCGCATGGCCCCATCGAGGAGTATCGGCAAGGAGGGAAAGACCCCATCCGGCAGGGTGGGATGGGGACCGGGTGAGGGGGGGTCCTCCGATATCAGGCGGTGAAAGGCATTCCGTGAATCCCCCACAGGGGGAGGTCCTCTCAAGCAATCCGCTTTCGATTGGGAAGTCTCGTTGCGGGGAGCATTACCGTCCTCCAGTTTATCGGGAAAGGAGTGCATACTTGTACGACTTCGCAGGCCGTATGAGGACGACATGGAGAGAAAGGGTGCTGTGGGGCATGGATGGGCTACTAACCCAGAACCCACCTGGTCATTTCCTCCGTGTTCACTATTGTGCTCTTCAGGCTTGCTGCCAGATAACAAGGGTACGGTGCCGTTCGAAGGAGAATATTGACTCAATAAAAAATCTTTCAAAGTAATTCTAGACTCATTCAAAGCCGGTAATACAGAAGAATCAGTAGCCAAGATTTCGTCAGTGTCCAAGAAGTCTGTTATCATCCGGTTCTTCCCCTTTCCTTCATTTCCTGATGCTCCTTCGACCGCACTATGGCTCACATTGGAAAAACATCTACTGTGCTCAAAGTATCGGACAAGCTTGGAGAGGTGGTGAATGTTTTCAGAGGTGTCTCGCTCCAGGTGTCGGCGTTTTCGAACTTCGTCTCGGAGCCCACGATGAAGGGTCTTGGTCTGTGCTTTAATCTTGCGCATCTCGAGCATAACCTTAGCAATTTCTTGAGTGAGTGTGAGTGAGACAGAGCTGAGGGTCATGCCTTTGCAGAAGCTTTGCCGCAAGCTGGGCGACCGACCGATGTGGGGGATCCTCACACGCTCGTATTCTGTGTCGTCACTCTTCCCGGTCTCTCCATCACGGGATAATGAATCCACTGGCGACTTTGTCTCATTCAATAAGGATACCGATGAGCGTGAGCGGAGACTCCGCGCCGATGTATTTAGAAAGGAATCACTTTTCATTATACACGAGTCCCCATTCACCAATTGCGTTATATTATCTCTGTTCTCAAGATTCTTATTCTTTGTCTCAGGCGGGTGCTCAACTATAGTTGGGCCTGAAGGATCTTTGGGGTTTACCCAGCCGTTCGCACACACTTTCTGCTCGTAAGCCACCGCCTCTAATGCATTCAACCTCTGAAGAATACTATGCCACATGTCTTCTCTCACCGTTATCACCTTCGTGTCAGTACCTCCTTCCCCCTGCTCAGCTGGCGTGCAGTGATTCGTTGCTTCTTTGTCGGAATTGTGAAGCTTTGGGCCATCCAAACTAGTGGGTCCTACGTCCTCCTCAGGTTTGATCGGCAGCTTTACATCACATCGATGTAGGTGGTCGAGTATTGAAGTCGTTTCGGCTTCTCTACCGGCAGTTTCTTCATTATGCGGTGAAACGCAACCATGAAAAGACAAACTGGTAGAGCGAAGTGGGCTAACCAAATTTCTACCCGTATTAACACTTTTGACGACATTTTTTGCTGGTAACATTTTAGAATTATTTCCAATTCCACGACCGATCAAAATACTCCTACACGAAGTTGGGCGAGTGAGTATTTGGTGGCTCATTGTTGTGTAGTTCTAAAATAATCACGTCAATAATCAAAATAATTATAAAAAGTATTACTGCCAAAAAAAGGAAGCTTATATATACATACAGATATAGAAAGCCAGTGTAACGTAATGCAACGTCTCCTCTGATGCACTTTTTTCAATTAGAACAAACTAAAAAGGTAAATCTTTACTATGCAAAAAAAAACGCCTTTAGTTTGAAATACTGTATGCGTCACTATATGAATCTTTCCTTGTCTAAAATTCTTATTACAAAATATTAATTAACAATAAATGTAATAATAATGAAAGGAAAAGAAAAGGCAATGATATCAATTTAAACAGAAAGCACTGTAGGTAAATAAATTCACATAATTGATCAGAAAATTGTTAAAAGTAAGAAGTCTCTCTGATGGGATAAGTATATCACACCATCCACATAAAATGGGTCGCTTCCTCTACGTGCCCACTTCATATATTCATTACACTGCATCGTCAAAACTAAAGATAAACCACTAAAATAAATAAGTAAACAGAGTATACAGTCATTAAAACACGTTCTGAAGGAAGATCAAAACTATAATCTGTACAGAAATGGGAAATTTACGGACGTATACTCTTTTTATCACTATGATTAACTGATCGTATACCTGATTTTTCAGCTTCTACTCTCAGTATTCGCTTTACTGGATTGATGCGCCTCAGAAATCGGCAAAATCCTACACACCATACAAGGCTCTGAGTTGCCGCTAGATACAGAGTCTTGCCAGCAGCTCTTATGGTAGGCTGCGCCACATTGCGGACAGATATGTACATGAAGGACGTCGATCGACAAAACAAAAAAAGGTAGCACAGACTTAGGAAGTCTACTCAAAAAGCTCCTATCGCAATCGTGGTTGGGAATACCACATCCACGACGCTCCTTACCGTAGGCAAAAGTGTCCATTTCACACTGTTCATATTCATGGCCTTGATATTGTTGTCCTTGATTTTGAATTTCTAACCCCTCCTCTATCCCACATACTTGGGTGCGTAGAAAGTCCTCAGCGATGTCAGTAGGGCAGCACAGACGACACACATCCGCCGCGTGCCGCTGACAGGCCGTGCAACCACGACTGAAGCCACGGACGCCACAACGCTGCTGAAATAGGTGCCACTTCATGGCTTGACGTATACGATGCAGTATCTGGAGTACACTACAGGATGAATAAAGCAGACCCGCTGAAGCTAGTGAGTTGGTAGTAAACCCTTCAGGATTATCGTCAAGCCGCGAACTGTCGTTTCGAGAGTCACGAAGATTGCCGTGGCAGTCAGTTTGAGCCTGTCTTAGACGATCGGCATTCTTAGTGTGGCTTAATGCTGAGGCAAGCTTTTCGTGTTGGGCTTCATCAGAGACGTTTGAAAAATATTTAAGCCCTACCTCTATTCTGTCGCGTGGCAAGGACAATGAAGATTGCTCTCCAAAACATGGCAAATTTGATAAAGAAAGCGGTCTAGGACACCAACGATGCAGCTCCAGTAAGTCCGCAAAAGACCAAAGCTCAGTGCCTTCCAGGTAATACCGCTGTGCCAAGGGTACATAGCAGGCAACACCTGCCTCACTATCCCATGTATCCGCATTGACATCGCCATAAAAAAGGCGACGGAAGTGTGCACATTGGATGCAGACCCCCCACAGAGTGTTGATCTGCACCCGCAGAGCGTAAGCGGCATGAAGTGCTGGAACTTTATCATATAAGCTTGGGTTCAACGCTCCCACAGCAAAGAGTGGTTTATCCTGATACCGCGTCCAGAGATTCTTTACAGCATTCGATACGGCGAATGGGGTCGCATCCCAATTCCACAACAGCCGCGACGGAATAGGTAAAACCTCCCCCTTATGGCACGCCCGACAATAGTAGCGATTTGTGTAATGGCAAAACCGCGCTGCTCCACGGAAAGCAAATTTAACCAGACACCAGAACTTCGATTGGGCGTAGAGGGGAGTCAAACAGTAAGCGCAATGCTTCTGCAAAGCCCTCATAGAAGTATCGTCGTCAGATGAAGTACGTATCTCATCATATACAGGCATTGAATGTACTCGAGCTCCATAAGGATCAGCGGGATCTGCGTATTGATGACTCCTAAAGTAATCTGGAGGTGGATGTAGCGCATCGGCAAAGCTTGCCAACTCGGGTATCGGAAGCGATTGGAATCGCCGCCATGCCGAACCCGCTTTTAAGGTTACAAAGCGCCGCAACAGCACCTGAGGTGGAGCGTTTTTCCAAGTATCCATGTCTCTCGGAGCCCCTTCCTCCAGCCCGTCATTCAGAGTTCTGTTCCTGAGAGCCTTATCAGCGTTCATGAGTCCTAAAACCGAAGCTGGCAAGGCAGGCAGAGGGGAAAGACTCGCTGGCCACATTACACTATCGTCCGAAAGGTCTGAAAGGATAACTTCGCTCGAGCCTTCCCAATCAAAGGCCGATGGCTTTACACCAACTTCGTGTGAGAAAGAATAGACGCACCGGTCGGGATGTGCACTGTCCTCCATAGGGACGCCAGAGGCACTTAAAGACGTCATCGGTGCTGTGGTAGAAGGCGGCTGGACGACCAAAGATTGAAGGGATGACCCCAGAGACTGCTCCCTCCCCTCCCCCTTAGCTGACAAGAAAGCCTCTCTGAAAGCCGCGGTGTTGGTTTCGTTATCAGAAACAGGATTCGGAAAAATCGAAACTGGTCTAAGGAGATCTACTGAATGGGTAGTGTGCAACCCAATGGAAGCGGAAGAAGGGCTATTAAGAGAGGGTTCACAGGAAAGAGTGGGCTTCCGCGCATCGCTAGGTTCTTCCTCGGCTATTACCGCATCGATGGTGTGATAAGACAAAAGAGCGCTTACTTCATTGCTTCGCAGACTCGGTTCATCGATCTCGCCAGGGATTAGAGCCTTGCAATTGGACTCTAAAAAGTGATACCGCTCCTTAAGCTTCCGAAATCGAGCACAGATTGAATCTGTAGCAACGTCACTATTTTTGCTGGACTGCGTAAGCGATTTCTTGAGGAGCGTATCTACAAGTAAAATAAGATCTTCAATGTCTTTTTGAAGTAACAGCACATCTGGTATCCCCATTTATTTTTTTTATTATTATTACCCTCAAATTGATTTATCATTCCCTTCTGATGATACCTAAGTGAAAAGAAATAAAAGTAAAATTGGTACACTACCTACATTTGATCTGTGTAGAACGCTCATATTGCAGAATGCATCTCTAAGGCTTCAAGGAACCAATTTTAGTAGAACTCTATAAAGGCGATACAATCCAAATTATATATTATTTCAGCGAATTTGCCTGTATCAGATTCAGTTTGTGAAAAACTGTGCTGCACTAAGGCAAATGAATTTATTTAGACTTTTGTTAACAGATAACTTTATCAATCGGAATCAGTAAATTTGGTAGGAAAATTATTGATGGGGTAAAGTATTTATATAGAGCCTATACCTACCCCTGGTAAAAAAACATTTTGCTTAAGAGTCTAAAAGATATCAACGCAATGCGGATCCAATTTAGAGATGCCCATGGATCGGGCTTTCATAGCTTTTCTATCAACTTTATTAGCGTATCAAAAACTTCCTCTTCTTAGAGCGTCAGCACCGTCATTAAGGTCCCGTACCATATCCTTCAAACAGCGGAAAGCCAACAGATTATCTTCACCTAGGGCAGAATGAAGTCTCGCCTTGACCACATCGCCACTATCGCTCAGACGACTCACCCTATCGTCCAAAACATAAAATACAGCAACTATTTTGGTGTGGAGATCTGTTCATTAAGCTCCTCGAAGTTGGGCTTTGAAGCCTCACGAGACAGTAACTCTCGCGGACAGGAAGATCGATGAGAAGCAGAATTATCTACAAGAGACTTAGGTTTAGTCCCCATAAAAGGAGTCCTTGTAGATCGCGTCACATTGCGTGCGGAAACAGTATGAATACTGGTATCTTTGTTTGTCTGCAATAGAGTGGATACAACTTGCCGCCTTGTCGATGAACTATCCAGTGTAGTGAATTGCCTACGTGTGTTCAGGGACTTTGAAGATTGAACTTCTCGAGCAGTTGAAGAGTTTTTACCTGACAAAGCATGTAAATTTGAAGGCAATGTCTGAGAGTGTAATGAAGCGAAAAGATTAGTAGTGGAGGAAACCGTTGAATCCAGAATCTTAGAATGACAATTATGTTCATCCATGACTAACGAAAAGAAACGTGGCGAAACGGAAACAGAAGATGCTAAAGAATCCTTCGAAGGAGTAGGTTTATCCTTTAGTTTTGAGGAGACAACAGGATGTCTAGATTCCTTATCAATAAATTGTGAAGGAATATTAAGTAATAAATTTTCCTCTTCAAAAGGTGCAGGATTAATAGAGCTCTTGATCTCTTCGCTATTGGCAATAAGATCCGTACGTTCGG